AGATGCATTTGAGATATCAAAAAAGTACTCCAGAGTGTTGTTCAGCATGGGGGTGAGTAGAAAATGAAGGCTAATCATGTTTTGGGTGTACTATTCTTTAAGAGTCAAAGCAAGCTGGCTGAGAAAAAGGGAAATGGTGCCGAATAGTGGTGAATATTGGAAGTGCCGTTTAATATATTACAAGTCCATGAATAGTTCAGCCTGAAATTAATAAAAATTGTTGTTTTAATGATTAACGAGTCAGATATGTGGCGGATAATGTTTGGTTTTTTGAAAGGTTTTATATGTCCCTGTGTAAATGGGTTTGACTGACATTTAGTCTCAGATTCCAATATCTCTGCAGGGTGGGGACTATAAATCTGATATTCATGACGACGGTACTGCTGCTGAAGCTCCTCAAGAATGTTATTAGCATCCAGAACAGTAGTGAGAAGTTCGGCATCCATTCTTTGCCTGTTTCGTGAGTCAACTGTCGTGGTTGCTGGGCAACAGAGCGTAGGCTGACTGACGGGCGTTTGCAGTCGGAGGCTGGACCTGTTTAAATCCATAGCCAAACTATTCTGGCCTCCTTATTTTCACGGCATTAGAAGGACGTAGTCCAGTTAGACAGGATCCTTGGAGGAGGCAGCGGCTAATATTGAAGGCAGCCAATTGTAGAGTTAAAGATAAAATATATTGAAACATTTTGTTTTTCAGTAAAGGAATTCCATAGACAGGCATTGCCATAGTTCCAACTTTCTGCATAATTTATTACAGTAAGCAATGAATCGTGATCAATCAAGAAAGAACTTTGGACATGAATGTTTTATGCTTGAATTTATTTAAAAGTGAATGTGCTGAGAATGATAACAAAGAACACAGAATGACGAACAAAGAAAAGCATCACCACGAGCCGTCTTCGTTTCATTTATGTCTGTTACCTTCGTCCATGTCCAGAAAGAGCTGCCGACAACCTGACACTCAGTTAGGTTAAGGGCCGACAAGGTCCATCAGGGTGTACAGGAAACAGGTTATTCTGGCCAAACCTGTCCTACTGGATCTGCTGTCCATAAAAATGCATAAAAGGCTTAATCCAAGGAGAACTTTAAAAATATAGAAGACAGTAACAGAAAAGAAGACAAGTGTTTATAAAAACATTCGTCAGCAACAGGGTAAAACTGCTTTACGTCCAAGGAATCGTCTTTATTTGCTTTCTCATGTGAGAGCGGTCTGATCGAAGGGCCTTTTGGACTCACATCGGTAAACGCCGTCATTCGCTACTTGAAATCAGCAACAGGTTTCACCCAGACAGAACATCCAGTCCCATCAACACTATACCGTCTAAGCTGCAGCATTTTAGAAAAAAAAACAAAGGAGTGCCTGACCAACATCCGAGGGGAACACTGCGATGGGTGCAGCACATGGCCACGACCCAGTTCTGTTTGGGAGTATCATCCAAGTGTTAGTCTCAATATGTTGGGTCGGACCTGGACTCTGATCAGAACAAACCCCTCTGTTTGTAATATGAACCCTGGACCATCTTTGGACCAACACTCCAGGTATTAGTCTCAAGCTTTGACCCAACAGAACCCAGTTGAAATAAATTTTTCTGTAAATCAAGCGGAGGAGAAATTATGGAATCCCTCAATATATCAAAAGTTGGTGTTCTGGCAGCTTTGTTCTTTGAAGGAAAAAAATCGAATGCTCCGTTTAGATTGGTCTACGATTGGACAGTCTTTATAACGCCAAAGCAAAGATCTGGACACCTGTTTGCTGTGCCAATGGCTCGCTCCCGATTCAGCACATGGGTAAGGTTCTTTAGCCAAAGCGGGCTGTGGTCCTTATCTGACTAGCAAAACGTGTCTTTCTATCAGGTGATAATGACTGGAAGGTTAAAAGCAGATCGGTTCCTTCCCTGGATAGAGTTCTTACTGACCCCATTAAAGGTAATTGGAACAGGAGGTAGAGGTATTTAAGTTGATGTATTTAGGGACAGCCTTTGTGTTTTCTGAAATGACAGCGGCGACATGGGGGGTTGAGCCCAACCAACAGCAGTTATGAATCTGAGACACCAAGAGAGGTAGTCTGATGCACCAGAACAGTTTACTGCCGTTAAGTTCAGCCAACTTGGGATGACCAGAAACAACGTTCCCATCATAGTGCTCAGTAAGGGTTCTGCCTTGGCTATGTCTAAAAGCAAAATACTGAACTTAGGCAGCAGTGACCCTGAGGGGCACCTGCCACCAATGGGTTTATCACCCAAAACCCACATGTTGACCCTTTGATAAGGAAATGACCCACATGGTCTATCCAAATGCTGAAAACTGTAACTCCCAACTCCCGTTCCTTCACCTTTCATTGGATCAACAGTTAGAACTCTCTCGCTCTGGACTGCTGTGCTGAATACCTCATGGACGTCATTATGGAACAAAAATGTACATAGAGCACGGTGGTCAAATTGGAACAGCCTTCAGAAAAAAAAACGTCCCATTAACGTCCTGTCACACAAAAGACTGTGTGAATCTGTCTAGATCTTAAGCAACAGATAGAAATGTCACGAGTTCCCTATAATAAATTAACCATAACAGGAAGGTCTGGATACTGCCACCTATATCCAGACCTGACCATGAAGACCACCGACTCACTTCCACTTGGGCTTAAAGATCCTTCCCAATTGGCAGTATTTAAACAGAACCAGTTTTCTCCATAACACTTTCTATCCAGCCTTCTGAATGCTCCATGGCTGAAGCTAGCTTGGCTTGTCTCCCACATAGCCAGCCTGATTTGTGAATTATGAATGCTCAGAACCAGTAAAGAAAAGGACTAACCTTAGGAGGTTCCTGAGGGAACCATTTGGATAAAGGAGCAAAGCTCCCAAAGCTGATTAGATGGGTCAACTCAATCTTCAGATGGTAGCAAGTAGAAAACCAGTCTAGATCTCAGCCTGAAGGTGTTAGATGAGCTAAGAATGCCTTTCTCCGTAAAGGGCAGATTATAATTCTGCAGCCGGACACATCAAATGTCGCTTGGGTCTGGTCGCGAACCAGTTTTGCTGGTTTGCTTCTGCACCATCGGTGTGAAATTTCTACGGATGCAGAGCAGTTTCCCCTCCAAAGCGAAGGGGTAGCCTATTTGTGAACTCGCAAGAACTTCAGCGGATGTTCACAAGAACTTCCGCGGCGCCAGCGGGAGTGTTTATCTTCCAAAACAACAATGGCACGTCTGCAAGATATCACAGTCACGGAGTTGCTAGACATCGAAGAGGAACAGCTTCCGTTAATGGAGTTGGCAAAAAGACCGATTAACCTTTTGTCATAGTTGTCCATTGTAGTTGTTCCTCAGTTTTTAAAAATGGCGCGCCCCGGCACCGAATCGAGAAGGACGACCACACAGACAGCCAGAAAGGCATACCAAGGACCAATCACAGCTGCTTTTTGTCTGCGCACTTCCGCCAGAGGTCTGCCCGGGTTTACGACCGTCCGACGCGTAGTCACGATTTTTTTTAGGTAGGCGACGACGGTTGCAGAACTTCTGTGCGGGGGGCTTGTTCGCACAGAGTTGACAGTTGCAAAGGGTATGTGTCAGAAGGATAAATTGGCCTTAAGTAACTTTACCTTCAGGTAATTTTTTTGTTTCTAGTCCTTTGACCGTTGTTTTTCTTGGTTGTAAATAACATAATATCCAAGGCATATTGTTTTGAGTTCTATTTAATTTCGCCCTTGTCTTATTTTTGTTCCAAATTTTGAACCAAAAAAAACTGGAAACAGCCATCATCTTCTGCAGCACTGTTGAAGATTTACCTTGTTGAAGCAGAAACAGCCTCCTTATCTACCAGGAATAAGACCGCTGCAAATAAAAAGGATGATTCTATATTTCCCTCCACAATATTGAGTGATTCCATAATTTTCTTTTCTCTCTGACCAAACCCCTTCATGAGAAGTCAGCTTTGGACATCTGTGAGTTCGGTTGGTGGGAATTTTGAGAATCCTCACAGGAAACGGAGCTACTGATTGGATCTGGAGAAGCTTAAACGGTCACTTTGGATTCATTGAGGTTATTGTCAGTAGAATCGATCTTTTTTTAGACAGATGTATGGAGCTTGTAGAAAAAACATCAAGAGAGTGGTGAAAGGCTAACAGGTGGTTAGCTGACTTTAGCCATTTAAAACTACTCAAACTGGAAATGTTGATCATCAGTGGGACGAAGGCTAACATAAGTGAGACAGAAAACCATGTTAGTGTCAAACAGAGCTAGCCAAAAGAAAAAAATTGCAATTACTTTAGACAAAAACATGTTTTTTTTACTTGTCTCTTTGCTAACCCCAAATATATACGTTAGGCTCCGAAGTTTAAACTTTTTTTATGCCCTTGAATACTCTGTTTTTGTGTGGAAAATGTTTAAAAATTGTGTTATTATTGGAAACACACAGAACAAGAGGTCAGTGGATCCTAACAGACTATAAAACGTTTAGTGGGGTTATGTCAGGCCAAACAGCGTCGCCGTTTCTAAGCTTTTAACCGTCGCTGTCAGCTGAATCAAACCTTCTGATTCTCTGTCGCCCACCAGTCTGTTTTAGCCCTACCATGTCCTGGACTTGATCAGAGATGGCCCATCGTTTTCCAGGACTCGTGTTTATAAACTATCCCAATGAACCCCTACTAGGCCGATTGCCACATTGGCTGGTGAGGCTGTTGGCTTTCTTTCACCACTCAAAGGATGAACCTACTTAAAGTCCAGACAAACCCCATAATGAGGTTCTTCAGAATCAGGCACCATCACAGTTAACACCTTGACCCGGTTTCTGCTCTTTCTTTCTAAATAAAGGCCTCAGCTAAATTCCAACAAAGTGCTCCATCTTCTGTCCCGCTGGCAGCAGGATCAGATGATGATTGTTTAGAAACCAGTGAAGCCCGCCCCCTGTTTGGATCTGCTGAGCCTCCAGTTTGCCCTTTACACTGCCGTTGCTTTAGCCCTTGCATTCGCTTCCCTTACGTCAGCCCTTAGACTGATTAGAAAGTTCATACACCCTGTTGGTTTAGTTCTAGCTTCATCGTCCTCGGGAACACTGGATTGAACAAAACCACTGAGCTGGTAATAAAACTGGTTTCAGAATCAAATGAGCTTTCCGTTTGAGACACTCCATGTGTCACCGATGCCCAGAGGTGAGTCCCTAGTGAAACCACTGTCTGTTCTCGGCCTCAGAGAAGCGGCTCCTCCACCTTACGTCACATACTCGTCCTCGTCCCTGCGTTCTGTTTTGATGTGGTCAGGATGAAGCAGTGGGTAGTGCGGTGCTGTAGTCCTTGTACAGACATACCACTCCTTAATGTTTGAGAGCTGAGTTAAGGCCGGGTTGACCGAGCGCTGGCTCCGCCTCGGGGTCCTGGAGTTCTGCTGCTTCTGGCTTAGCTGACTCTTAAGGCCAGAAAGAGACAGATCCAGGGGCATTGCCACTGGGGAGGAACTCCGCAGGAACACTTTACTACTCACTTGGTTGCCAGAGCCCAGATCTAATTCATGAGCGGCCAGCAGGGGAAAAGGAGCACTTCCGTTAGCAAGGGGGGAGGAGAAGTGGTTCATTTTAAGATCCAGAGGTTCCAGGACAGGTTGCTGGAGCTGATGGTGGCCAAAGCTGTACAAGTCTTGGTGATCGGAGGTAGGCGACGACTTGACGTGGATCTTCATGTGTTTGCGGAGGGAACTGGGGTGGGTATAGGACTTGGTGCAGCCCAGCGCCTTGCAGTCGTAGGGCTTCGAAGCCGTGTGGACCTGCGAGTGCTTCTTCCTGTCGCTGCTATTAGCAAAGCGCCGTTCACAGAACTCACACTGAAATGGCTTCTCCCCTGCAAAACAAACATGACAATCACTGTTAGAACAGATTCTAGCTACAGTCTAACTTATCTTTCTATGTAGGGCTGCATGTTCTCTCTGCTTCCTACATCAGCCCACAAACATGTCTGTTTCAGAAACAGAAACTGACCCATGTATTTAGAAAACATGCATGTTATGTCTACACAGTGATAAAGGAACAATAGCTTTTTTACTAAGATATTGCCATGAACACAATTTGTGTTTTGCACCCTTACATATGTATTTTCCTCTTCTTCAGACCAATTAAATGTCATTGGACCAAAGTCAACAGAATCAGTGTTTGACCTACTCCAACTGTCAGATTGTTTGGATCTGAAACTGATGATTTTATTGCATGATGGTCCTTGATATGGTTCCATCTGTCTTCCCATCCCTCATTTTCCCTCTCCTTTGTGTTCCCTCTCTCTTGTGTTCCCTTTCCCTGGTCTTCCCTCTCCCTCATGTTCTCTTTCCCTTGTGTTCCCGCCTCTATTGTGGTCTCTCTCTCGTGTTCCTGCCCCCTAGTGAATAATCAGGGTTGTTTTTCACCAAAATCATGTATGCTACTTGACCTGTGTTACGCTGTAACATTTCCATAAGTGTTAGCAATATAGGGTACATAATAGTATTGGCCCTAAGTCTCCTTCCTGAGCGGAGGACCTCTGCAGCTCCTTCTTAGTTCTCTATGTTGGCTGCCTCTCTGATCAGTGCCCTCCTCTAGCTGGACTTCCATGTAGGTCAGCAGGTGGCCCATCCTCTCTCCATGTTCAGATGATGTTCAAAGCTTTGGAGATCCTTCTGAAACTTAACCCAGATTAAAACTCCTCCCAGAAGAAGGATCCAATTCAGCTCTCCTCCAAAATCATGAGCTACTTTGTTCGTTTCATCACAGAATATGAATTAAAAAAGACTAAACCAAGAAAATAACTTAATAGAACCAGACCTGCAGGAACCCAGACCACAACTAGATGATGTTTAAAGATATAAGCTTCATCCTTTGGCCCAACCATCATCATCTTTATCCTCCTCACAGCAGACCCATCAAAGTTATCAATACTCTCTTTATTGAACTCTGTAACCACAGAAACTATTGCTCTGTCAGTCAGAATAAGATTATATTTTTGTTTTCAGGAAGTGAAAATCTATAAAAATCAAATATTTCCATCACCACTAAAAGATGATAAAAACCTAAAGTCCATTGTCTCAGTGAGAAAGTTAAAAACTGAGTCGCTTGATCAGCATCGGCTCTAACTGGTTTCACTGGTCTCAACGGAAGACGCCCTCCTTACGGCGAAGACCGCTCACAGACACGTCAACCAGGAGAGGAAGACAGAGTGATCACAGAGAGCTGCATGTCCAGAGAAAGTTCAGTAGAAGGAAAAAGGCAGCTTATCCACTGACTGGTGCTGGAAGAGAAAAGAGGCACCGCAATATCCGTTGTGTTGCGTTGACCTCCCAGCAGGACCGGGTACTGGTCCATAAAGCTGCTAATAGACGTTCCAAAGACTGTGGTGCTGGTGTGCTTGACTGACCAACAAACAGGCCAGACCAGAACCTAAGAGCCAAGAGGAAGATGAGGGACACCAGAACCAACACTGCAGACAACCTGGAGGGAGTTACCAAGGCAACCTGTGCTTCTTTGGACCTCAGCAGGCCCCTTTTCTGAAACCTGACATTTCTGATTAACATATGGTTTGTTATTGATCAGTTTGGGTTTCTGAACGTTGCTTTTCTTTGTCAGTGAGCCGTAATCATCAAGCGGATCAGAAACGAAGGTTCTAGACATTTCAAACTTGTGATGAACACGATTAGCATCTGAGCTTCTCTTCCTGGAATCAGGGAAAAAAGATGCAGAACTTTTAAACAAGATTTCAAGCTTGTTCTGGTGTAGAAATGGAAACATACGACAAATTCAACAGCTTTACAGTCGCTTTAATTAAATAAAAGCGACTGTAATCAAGTGTTTAGGATATGTACACTCTAAGCACTTGCTGTACAGATTTACAGGACGTTCTGTTTTAGTTAATTTGCTCTGCTGAGCGTCTGAGGCCTTGAATTAGTTTTTAAATGTCAGGGTTAAAAGCTCGTAGCTTTAGAATAAAAAAAAAAGATTATTTTTTCTTAAATAATACATCCATAAAACATCTATAGTGAAGCAGAAAAAAAGTTAAAAAATATATATATATATATTGTGTGTGTAACTAATTGTTTCATACATTTTGATGGGTCCAAAATATATAAACATTTACTTTTGTTAATTATCCTAATGTCACCATAAAGGGATCTGCACCAGAGTAACGCCATGAAGTGAGGCGAGGCTAGTAGCTCTGTGGTGGAGCCGAGAAACCGTTTCTTCTCTGCGTTACTTTTCCCAGATTCCAACTAAAGTTAGACCGTCTGCAGCAGCCAGGGCTAATCCTAGCCCATCTGCAGCAGCCAGGGCTAACGTTAGCATGTCTGCAGCATCCAGG